CTCTCTCTCTCTCTCTCTCTCCCTCTCTCCCTCCCTCCCTCTCCTTTCTGATCATCATGTGAGCCGCTTCCCTCTACTACACTCTTCTTCCTCACCTTGAGCCCTGAGAAATCTGTGGATTGAGACCTCTGAAACCATGAGCCCCCAAATAAACTTCTCCTCCTAAAATTGTTCTGGTCAGGTCACAGCAACAAAAACAGCTGACTAAAACAGTGTGTGTGTGTGTGTGTGTGTGTGTGTGTGTGTGTGTGTTTGTTACACTCATATATATACACTAAAAGGGGAATTTTAAAAATGAGTTGAGGGAAACCCTAATACAGAAAATTTTTGAAGGAGACAGTTGAGAAACAGATGAGACTTGAAGTTTTTTTTGCAACTGGAAGGAAACTAACATTTGTATTTTATTTATGTACTTATTTTTCAGACTTTTACATTTTGTGTCTAGTTAGGATCTCTGAGATATGTAAATTTTTGTTTACCATCTGTTTGAAATCAAGTGTGATGAAATGTTTCTTTCCACTTATTCCATATGTTATACCTATTCCAAATCCCCTTTCTCATGATTTCCCTGCTTTATGTATTTTCACCTTCTAGCTGGATGTTTCTGTAGATAATAAATTTATCAGAATCTTGAAGTATTGCATTATTCTTGAGGTTGTCTTTTTCCCTTCTGCTTCATTTTTAAAATACTGTGCACTCTTTTCCTGAGTGCACTAACTGGTTGTTGTAGAACATATACAAAAGATTATATAAAAGCATGAACAAGAAAATAATAATTGGTCCTAATGGAGGAAGTCTCCCAGGAAATAGAAAAAAATAGTAATGATATGAAATATAGGAAAGAAAACATTAGAAAAACTAGAAAATAAATCCAGGACACTCATTCATCTAGTAGCAGTTCCAGAAAGAATAGAACAAAAACAAAGAGGAAAGGACATCTTCAAAGACTAACATTAGAAATTTCCTAGGACCGAAAATCTTACTAAGGCACATGATTACGATGCTTGTGAAAATTATAGATTTGGGTGTTAAAGAAGATCTCAGAACCTTCCAGAGTAAAAGCAGGTCAGATACAAAGCTCAGAACTTTGTTAAGTCTTCCAGATAGCTAGCTGTATTAGAAACTAAGAAACTGAAATGCCTTCCACCTTTGAGTGAGAATTTTGTTCAGTTTGGAGTATAGACTCAGCTAAAGTAATAGTCAAGCATGAGAATAATAAAAACATTTTGGATATGGCAAATTTCACAATATTTACCTCCTGTGCTCTTCTCGGGAGCTACAGGAGGATTTGTTCCACCAAGTTAAGAAGTACCCTTCAAAGAAAGAGGAAGCTTCAGGGAAAATGAGGTCTGACACTTAAAGCAGGAGAGGGAATACGTGATAGTGATTCACAGAGTCCCAGTGTAATATCTATGCTGTAGGCCTGGGGAACAATTGGTCCAGATTACATTAGGAAGATGGCATCATCTAGGACAGAGATCTTTAAAGGAAAAAGTAAAAATTATAGGAAGAAAATTGTATTGAAAGGCCAATGGAGGATGTTGGAGAAATTTGGCATAAGTACAAAGAAACCAAGCAAAAGAAATGAAATAATCATGCATTTATTTTTTATTTTATTTTTTTAAAGAGAGAGAGAGAGAGAGAACTTTTTAATATTTATTTTTTAGTTTTCGGTGGACACAGCATCTTTATTCTATTTGTATGTGGTGGCATGCTAGGTGAACGTGCCACCGCTTGAGCCACATCCCCAGCCCCATAATCATGCATTTATTAACTGAAGGGAAAAAAAAAGTATGCTGGAAGGGAATACAATCATAATTTGGCTCATCAATGGACACTTATTATTAATTCTAACTAAACACAACCAGGGTTACAACTATATTGAGAGGGTGAAGGAAAGAGGAAGGGTATGTATGAGAGAGCAAAATCCTCATCTTCATAATAAGTAATACATAGATTTGATTAACCAAGAGAGAGCATTTAAACATAATATTAGAGATATGGGGTAAACAACTGAAGGAAGGACCAAGGGTTCAAAATGGTGGCATCTGAGAAGTAGGTCCAAAGGCGGGGAGACACGGGACAGGAGGCCTGTTTTTCCTTATGAGCCTAGTAGTCCTTTTGACTTTTAAAGTCATGTTCATGTGACACATTGATGAAGAGTAGGGTTTTTAATTTAATTGAGTGATATAAAGAGGGAACCAAAACACATCATTGTCTCCTAACAGTGTTATGTGAGGGAGAAAGACAACTCAATGCCAACCAGCAGGTAGCTCCTACCACTTATGATATTTGAGAGCAGATATCATCTGCCGTCTCCCAAATCCATGCTAAATGCACTTTTATAGGGGCTTTCCCCCAGCTTTCCTAGCAAAGAGGGCAAGGTCAGAGCTGGGCATTTCTTCTGTAGCTAAGAATGGATAGATATAGAGGTAGACATTAAATCATACACATATACAAATGTATGTGACTGGTTCTCCTCTTTGGAAACATTTTAAAATATGCATTTATAAGTCTATATTCAGTAAATACTGTGCAGACATCCAGATGGAAATAAGTGAACCAATCTTACTTCTAATTATAGTCAGTTAATATTATTAAAGATTTATTTACATGTTCATACCATTTGCCATTTAGAATAACACCTTATTCTAATTGTTGTCATCATTTTGAATGCTGTATTTTTCTGAATAACATAGAACTGTTAAATCTTAAAAAGACCTTCCAGATAAACCTTTTAAAAGGTCAAAGAGAGTGCAACAATAAATAAAGCAAACTATTCTAAGACTGAATTGATGACTGTTTTTGATGTGTGCTATGGGAACAACATGGTAAGGACACCAATGTAGGCTATTCAGATAGTGGGGAGTCAGGGAAAGCTACCCAGAGTGAAAGGTGGGAATTAAATGCCATAGTGTTCTATATTTAAAAAAAAAAAAAAAGCACACTTCAACCCTCATTAAATTAAAATGAAACATAAAGTAATGATGTATTAAAGGAAAATACGATATTTTCATGATCTAAAGTAGAGAAATAAGAAGATTGGTAATATATAATTAGAAACTTCCCACCATGTGCAGTGGTATATGCCTGTAATATCAGCTACTTGAGAACCTGAAACAGGAGAATTTTAAGTTAAGGCCAGCCTGAACAGTTTGGAAAGATCCTATCTCAAAACTTTTTTTAAAATATATATTTTTAAAGGGCTGGGTTTAGTGGTAGAGTGCTCTTCTGTAAGACCGCAGGTTCATAAACAAGGTTAAAAGACAAGGAAAAAATATCTGTATCTGTGAGAGCTAAAGAATCAACATGCAGATGTTTGTGTACACCAAAGATACCAGAAAACATTCCTATCAGCACACAGAACTGGTTCTATTACTTCTTGTAACAAGAGACCGTACACCATGGGGAAACTGTGAATCATCTTAGTAAGAGGGAGTTCAGAGATTGTTTTGTGATATGGGCTTACATTAGGTGTTGGGGAGAGTCTGTCAGAAAGCAGGCAATTCTATAATTGAATATCTTAATTACTGTCTTGGAGGTGGGAGGAATCAAGTGGGCTAAAGCTATAATTTGTAAAGCATCAACAAGCCCTCATGTTATCTGGGAAAAGGGTCATTTTTGTGACTTGCAGTGTTCTTGTTTTATCTGTACTAAGACATGATTACAGAGTGGTCATTTTTGTCTTGCTCCATCACAGTCAAGAATAACTCTGATGCATTCTCTAAAATAGTTTCTGTTAAGTAGAGAGCAACTGGGCCTAGGCACTAGTTGCAGGCTGGCTCTGACACCTGTCATTTTTCTTTTCTCATAATATATATAAAGAGCTTCTACAAGTAAATAAAAAATAAGAAAACAGTAAGCAACCCAATGAAAAAGTAGGGAAGAATAGGAACAGTTTGGGCTGGGGTGGTGGCTCAGCGGTAGAGCATTTGCCTAGCACATGTGAGGCCCTGGGTTTGATCCTCAGCACCAAATAAAAATAAATAAAATAAAGGTATGGTGTCCAACTACAACTAAAAACTAAATATTTTTAAAAATAGGAACAGTTTATAAAAGAAAACATAAAACTGAATAATTAAACACATGAAAAAATGTTCAGCTGTACCAGCAGGGTAATGAAACTTAAAACAGTTAAACATGGTTGATAGTAATTTAAATTGGTTTAA